GATTAGATATGCATTTGCGTGAGAATATCATTTGAAGATAGAATAAGATGCAAGATTCAAGAGAATGGTTATCAATTCGAACATCTATTAAAATTTTTCTTTGTTTCTTCTAAAAGTAAAATTTTCTTTAATAAATATTTTTCATGTTCATAAATAATTCAGTTACTTACTACAAACATATTTATACAAAATTAATAACTTTTTATAATTATTCTGCTTATAAAATAATATTTTTTATTAGAAAACTTTTTTGAATATTGTCATGATAATGATAAAAGGAAATTTTACTTTTAGAAGAAACAGAAAAATTTTAATTGATGTTCGAATTGATAACCATTCTCTTGAATACAGCATCTTATTCTATCTTCAAATGATATTCTCACGCAAATGCATCTCTAATCCTTCCCTCCAATATCATCGCAAGTAGTAGGTGGAACATTGTGTAGAAGATTTTTTATATAGCTCGCAACAAAGATGTCCATTACGGTTAGGTCAGTACTGCGTTGCGTTATTGCGCTGAAGCAATGGTCTGCGCCACTGCACTGATACCAAATTTATTACTGCACTAACGCAATTGAGTTACGCCGACACGCACTCACATTTGAGTCAAATACAGAGTCATGCGCCGTGCCCCGACAGGCAAAGCCGAACAAAACATGTCATCACGCCAAAAGATTCAACTCTTCCTCCGCTGATGCTATTCAGACCGAGTATAATATTACAAGTTCTTTTTGTTGTGCACAGGGATGCACAGGTAGACAATCGCGACGTAGAAAATACAATTGTCTACGGGTAGACAATGACCTAGATGTAGACATAATTTGGAAGTGTTCCTATGTTCCTATTTATAACACCAAAACTAATTCAAGAGCAGGTAGACGTCGTATATACTGATTTTACGAAAGCGTTTGATCGCATTGATCATAAACTTCTTCTACAAAAATTGTAAGTGCTTGGATTTGATCCCGATTTGTGCAATTTTTTGAAATCATATCTTTGTGATAGAAGGCAATTTGTTATGTACTTTGGTCATAAATCAACAGTCTTTACAGCTACTTCTGGCGTGCCTCAGGGTTCGAATTTGGGGCCGCTACTGTTTGTATTATTTATTAATGATATTGCTAATATAATAAACTGCGAGAAACTTTTATTCGCAGATGATTTAAAGTTTTATTCAAAAATTATGGACACTAATGATAGTAGGATGTTACAAACGCAATTATGTGAGCTAGAAAATTGGTGTAATTATAATAGTCTGAATTTAAATGCAAATAAATGTAAAATAGTAACCTATACTCGTAAATGTAACCTCGTTATCTACGATTATGTTTTGAATGAAGTAATACTAGAACGATGCGACTCCATTAAAGATTTAGGAGTAATATTCGACGCAAAACTAAACTTTTCAAATCATATTGAATATGCCACAGGTTCAGCCCTGAAGATGCTTGGTTTCATAACTAGAAACTGTCACTCATTTTCTAATGAGGTAGCTTTGAAGACGCTCTATTATTCTTTTATAAGGTCTAAACTTGAGTACTGCTCGCTTATCTGGTATCCACTGTATGTAAATCATAAGCACACAATTGAGAGTGTACAGCGAAAGTTTCTCAAGTTTTTATGTTTGAAAGTGGATAATTTTTATCCAGAAAGGGGATACGATCATTCTGTATTGGTTGATAGGTTTAATTTTACTTCTTTAGAGTTACGTAGGATTATTAATAGTTTAAAAATTCTTTTTAATATATTTCATAACAATTTAGATTGCCCCTTGTTATTGCAACAGTTTTATTTTCAAATTCCTAGAATAAGTTCCAGACAAAATGTTACATTTTACTGTCAAGCGGTTAAGACCAATATAGTTTTGAAATCTCCTATATATATTATGTGCAAAAATTTCAATTTGATATCTGATACNTATAGCAATTTTACTTTAATACATTAGTTATCTAATTTATCATCCCGTTTAGACAGACACTTTATTAATTAAGTGAAAATTGTGATAAATGTAGGTGTAAGTATTTTATGTTCATGTTTATTCAATATTTCGAACCGACAACACTTTCTTCAGATATAAATTTTTATTGCCCAATCTGGCAACGTTTAGCATCCAATTTAAAGGGACGAGGTCAACGGCGGCATTTACGCCACATCAAAGGAGTGTCGCATATGGGTTAGATATGTGATCACGCCAAAAGATTCAACTCTTCCTCCGCTGATGCTATTTAGACCGAGTATAATATTACGAGTTCATTTTGTTGTGCACAGAGATGCACAGGTAGACAATCGCGACATAGAAAATACAATTGTCTACGGGTAGACAATGACCTAGATGTAGACATAATTTGGAAGTGTCGACAATGTAGACAATGTCAACAATTAATAAAGGTATAAAATTAAACAAAATATTACCTTATTATTTAAAACATCTTTAAAACCATAGTAAGTATAACAAAATAAAACTTAACATTATAAATTGCTGATTGACAGAGTAACAGAAAATTAACAATTTACTAAAAATATTTTCAATTTTTTTCATTTTACATATGAATTAATTTTTTAAAGCGTTCAAAAGTTAGTCGATTTCTAACAGCTGTATGAATATTACCCCACTTTGAAAAAAAAACCTTCAATTTGTGCAGACGACGCGGGTATTTGTAAAAGTCTAATCGCCAATGTGGATAAATTAGGACGTATAGGCTTGCCATTCTCCAGAATATTAAGGGCATTTTTGTGTCTTTTTGGAGCATTTTCACATATCAAACATTTTGCGGCATATTTTCTGATGAATTTTACTAATTCGAATCGTAGCCGGCCAAAATTGGAATTAATTTTTCGTTCGCTCAATAGAACAGCTGTTCAACATTATCTACATTGTCTCCATTGTTTACTTAGTCTACACTGTTTACATAGTCTACGCGAAGTCTACATCTATTGGCTATTTACAAAACCAAGAATTTGAGAAGAAAAGAACACACTATAATCTGTATATCCGATCTACCAAAATAATGTTAAAACGTTATATTAGGAGTAACACCTATGAAAATAATATATGTATTAGAACAAAAAATAGCGTGGCGTATAAAATAACATGACTGTTATTATGATAAAATGGAATATATACATGGGGGTTGGGGGAATTGTCATCATATGTTCTGTGATTGTCACTGTCTCTGCGTATTGTGTAAAATATAGTATAGTTTCAATTTAGGGACTCGATGGTTCAGTGTAAATATAATGAAATCAGTACGAGGGGGGTAAACGACGCCTGCGTTATTTGAAATTTTTAATTGCAGTTACGTGAAAAATTATGCATTTTAATTTTTAACTTTTATTGCAAAACAGAAACAAAATAATTCTTTTATACAAAATTAAAATAATTAACTACCTAACTAGAACCTTGTTTGGTCCAGAATAAAATTTAAAACACATAAAAACATAACAGCTGAGCTGGTGAAGCTGTAGCAAGTCACGGCGTATGTGCATCGGGTGGTGTGGTGATGATACGATGACACCGCTGCGTTAGATGCGCCATTCGTCGCGCCAGTTCAACCGATATTGAGTTACAATGCAATTGAGTTAACGCAGTGGGTTAACTCACAAATGTGCGCTTGAGTTAGTGTATAAACACCGGAAATTTTGCTGCGTTACCCATGTATACTGTCATATTTAAAATCACAAAATTTAATTCATTTCAGGTTAAACTGGAAGGTGCATGACAATTTGGTTATTTTTTAATCCTTATATAACCTTGAATATCGTTATAACCAAACTCCACTGTATTTAAAACCCAGCCCATTGAAAATATATATTAAAAAAGTTATAGAGCAAGAATAATTCTCGCTAAGAAAAGTAAGCAGTATTAAAAAAATTTGTTAAATAGTTGATTTAATTGATGTGAGTAAAAAGGGAAAAAATTATCAAACATTTAATTATCTATGCAATGCACCCAATTTTTTGTTCTCCTAAACAAACACTCCCATTCCATGAAAAAGATTTTTAAGTCAAAGTGATCCTTTTATTGTCTATGGCTAGTACCTATTTAGTTTCTAAGGAAATACCAGTTGGTGTTTAGAGTCTCCGTATTGATAGAGTACTGTAATTAATTGTTGATAATGAACCGTGGGACTCTTGCCATTTTTTAGAGAACTTTCATTCTAACGAAGTTTGTAAAATAAAAATTTTTAAATAAGTATCATTAAACCTGAGATTTTGAGGAGTTGTACATATATGTGCAAAACATGCTGTGTTCTTAATGAACTATCAACCAGTTTGTTGCTTACCATTTAGTCCACAAACACAAATTATCTGAACATCAATACAATAATTAATATAATTATTATATTAAAAAAAAAATATTTATGTGTAGACCTATGTGTTTGATCAAAAAACCATCTGTAGAAATTTATTCCTTAGCTTATTTAAACATTTATACTTATTTATACTTACAATTAGCATTGGGAGATTTGGGATATTGGACAAATTCAATTTTTTCCTCTTTTCTTGGAGCCTCGTGTGGTTCATCATCAAATTCAAATACATGGCATTCCTTCTTATCTACTTCATCCTTTGTATCTCTACCTAATCCACTGTTTGGTCTTGAGCTTGTTTTACTTATGTCATTCGAAAGTCTGTGATGACTAAGTTTGTCTTGGCTTCTATTTCTAATGTGATGATGATGATGAGTTTTCTTTTGTGGAATATGTTCGGAAGAGGAGCTATTCGCTGTAATTCCTATATTTCTGTGAGGAGGTACAGGTGGGCGGTAATCTTCCTCGTCTTTGATGAATTTAGTGCGTTGTGGTTGAAGTGGAGCTCCATGTGGTGGCAAAGGAGGTGGAGGAGTAGGTTTGTTCCTAATTAAATAAACATTTATTTAGATATTAATAACATCAGAAAAGTGAATGTTAACATATCAAAAAATTTTATGAAATATTGACAACCTGTAGTAAAGAATTTTAATTGTATAATTAATTACATACAAAGTATATGTTTTGCTAGTAATCATAAAATAATCCATTAATGATATACAATCACTTTTAAAATTTTATTTTTTGTACCTTTTACATATAAGGTGCCCAAAAAATTAAAGAAAAATTTATAACATAGATTTTCCTTTTCATAAATGTCTCATTAAAATCTGGCTGCTGATACTTCTAATTATGAAAATTGACAGTTAAATAGATTATAAAACAATTTAAGGGTATCAAATGTGTATTATGTGTATGAGTAAAGAAAAACAGTCAGTAGGTATTAGCATAGTCGTAACATCTTTTATGATATTAAATTAAATATCAAAACACAAGTTATATACATATTGTTAGTTACTTTTGAGTGTCATAGGTATCACTTTAAGGGAGGATATTATGGTATGGTTGCTGGTGCTGAATGATTGGACTCGTGTATTAAAGTCGTAATTTGAAATCTGATCAATCAACTAAACAGTCACACTCACAATAAATAATCAAGAGCATTTCTTTATGACAAAGTAACTCAGAAAATCAAAAATTCGATAAATGTCAAAAAAAGGATCTACATACATCTGCATACTGTTTAAATTTGAATTTGATATTTGCAGTTTTCGAAAATATTAACAACAAAACAAAAGATGTATTATTTAAGGTTTAATAACTTTTTATTATAACACCTAGCTATTTATAGGTATAAAGGAAAATAGTGAACAAAAATCAGTCTCACATAGATATTTTTTAAATATTTTTTCTTTGAAAACCAGCCAAACCTTTATTTGATTGTAACAAAATACATATATCTAAAGATTGAACTTAGATGAGAACCATTGGTTTTCCAAACTTTTTAACCCTTTAACCAAGAGTGAAAATTTCAGTAAACCAAAAAAAAGTGATTGTATTTTATTGACATTGACCATGATTAGTGACTTTTTTATACTTACAATTAGAAAAACAATATTGCTGAAATAAAAAAATCTATGATGAGAATATCACTCGTGTAGGAGCCACAATATAATATTTTTTTGAGTGAAGGAGAAGCCATATTCATTTCAAAATATGCAACAAGTGGTTGAATGTTTGAAATAGATTCTTTACTCAAAACTAACAGAAATATTTGATTATCTGACAAATAAATTTTGGTTTTTGTCTTGAACGTTTCAAATTCGGTTAAAAAATCTCACACAGAGGGAGGCGTTCACGAGCGTGCGCAGGGCCGGCGATCCTTCTCCCATGTGCAGGCCGTTCATTAATGTTAACATTTACTGCTGCTAGCGCATTTATTACATGAACTATCAATGTAAAACAATCTGAAAATAAAAGTTTAACCCTTTCTTTAATTGTCTTTAAAATCCCGGTCCGATACGTCCAATAGTTAATTAACAATTAACGTTATAAACATTGTTTTGCACGTCCTTGTTAGTTGTAGAAGGCTACTTAATTTCAACTTTTTGAAATTTTTCTTTTTCGGTACGTTTCTTTGGATTAATTACAACCTATATCAACGATATTAACTTCTAAAATTAACGTTTAGTAATTAAACAATTAGTTGCAAAAAACTAAACGAAATGAATTAACAAATAGCTGTAGCAACAATTTCACGGTCAATTGAATAGACATTTCGCAGTCATGTTGGTCATTGGATTGACCGTCTTTTCCATAAATTTCATCAACATTCATCGCTTTTTGCAACAATAATACACAATTTTCAAAAACTAATATTTCCGCATTCGACCATTACTTTACAGTAAACAGATTAGTGAAAAATGATTCTAGGTACCTTAAATTGTAGGTAATTTAATTGCCTATAACATAAAATAACTAATATTCCGATAGGTCATCTAGATTTTCGTGGGCAGTAAAAAAGTGAAAAAACACATAAAATTGACACTTATTTGCACTTTGTCCACTTAGCGTTACTTCTTTCGAGTTACTTTTTTGATATTATCATTCTAGATACCCTTCCCAGTCATAAAGTGCAATAAAATATCTACTAATAAAGTTTTTAGGTTTTATGATCTAATTCGACTAGAGTATTGTTTTGCAATAGATATTTAAAAAATAACAAGATCATGTAAATTCAATTCTTAAATCTTTTCCCATATTTTGAAGAAACAAAAAAGGGAGGAAGCAATACTGGGACCACCTGGTAAAAATGTACATCTTTTGTGTTAATTAATCTTAATTGTCATTACTGTATTATTAATTAGTAGAAATTATTAATCAGTTCAGTATTTACTGTCACCTACCAAACTTGTAGATCATCATTAATATCGTTAGCTTTATTTATCCCTCCACCAATTTTGCTCTTACAATATGTACTGCTGTCAATGGCCTTGTTTGAATTCACATCAGTCGAGTTTGTCATTGAAGGCTTGCTTGGTAATTCTATATGGCTGGGATTACTGAAACCTGTTGCTGCCAAACAATCTTCGGGCTCACAATAATTTACATTCAGTGGATTAGTAATGATTCTCATATCGGTCGAATTATTGTTTATTGCAGTAGAATTACGATTTGTACTGTCTAATGTTGCTCGGCCTAACCAAACCCAGTCATGGGCATTTGTTGTAGATTCTCTTGGTTTACGTGGCTCACGGTGAATTACTAAACTACTAGGATTAACAGGAGATGGCCGAATGCCTGCTACAATACCTCCATCGATTGTTTTAAACTTAGATGCATACACAACACAAGACACTACAAAAACCTGAAATATAAATTTTATTTATAGTTTAGTATTAAATAAAAGATAACAATACAAAATAGTAGTAATTTATTTGAATATACATTAGGGTGCTTCTTAATTGGGCAAAAAAAATTTTTTTTTTTTATTATTATGCGTGTGACCATTTTATTCTGTTCTAAGGCACAAAAAACTAATATGTAATTTTTATTTTATTTTTAAAGTAATATTTAGGGGTCTCTACCAGCGAATTAAAAATAAAAAAAAGTATTTTTGAAAATTCATTAATTAAGTTCTAAAAAAGACAAGCATACACAAATTATATAACTCATTAGGATAAAAAAAATTGTAACTTATGCTAAAAAAGTAGATTTCTTTGTATCAGGGTACCTTTGCCTGAAATTTTTCACAATCAAAAGAAGGAATTGATTTTGTTCTTCATCTGTGGTAATTAGTTTATTAAATTCTTCAATCAATGCTACACCGCGTTCCGCAATGTCGTTCACCACTCTCATAGAACGTACAATTTCTCTGGAAGCTTTGTAGTCTTCATCTTCTTCTCAAAGACGAGGTTCTTTTTGCAGAAATTCAGACGGAATTCCCAGGATTCTAAAAAATCTTAATTCTCTAATCCTCAATATTTTTTTCTTCGATGTGACTTAGATCCAAGGTGATTCGCTTTGGGCTATAGTCTGAACCTTCTTCATTCAGTTCAATCACTATTTTTTGTTTGCTTTCAAGAGAAACTTCATCAAAAAAAGCAAGGGCAACAAGTCCTTCGGACAGATACCACAAATGCCCCAGGAACTTCGATAGAGCTTTTTTGGACATAGCTTTGTTTATATTTTCAAATTTCTTAAGATTTTTTAACAGCCACAAGTCATTCCTTGGAGCTGAAGTTGCCACGGGAGCTTGGAACCAGCATCTTACATAAATCGTAACGACGAAAACGTAAATTTCAGTAATGGCTTTAAGTTCTTTTTTTGTCAGTTTAAACTGGTCTCTGAACATAAAAAGCTTAAGGCAATAAATTGTTTTTGCCATCCATCGTGCACGATGAAGACCTGCTGGAGCTCTGAATGATATCCCTTTATTAGGTGGTACACCTCCCAAAAATATTATTGTGTCAACAGTTCCTTGTAATCGTCACGTGGTTGATAATAATCATTTAGCTGCTTTTCAGCAAATGAAATTGCGCTGCCTGCTATATTTTCTACGTATTTTAAAGCGTCAGGGTCTGAAGAAACTATACTGAACTTATTCTGGTCAATGTTAGGCTAAGTAGATCTAAATGGTTTGAAGATTAATATTTCTGGTCCACTTGATGGACCTAGTGCTTGAACTATTCAGCAAAAGCATTTTATTTTGTCGCTCAAGTTCCAAGAAAGAATAGTGTCATAAACAGCTGAAGCACACGCCTCCCCAGTTCCATGACTGAGTTTTGGTACTGCCAAAAGTTGATCTACACCCTGTCCTGACACTAAAATGGGAAAGCGATCCACTGTTTTGTGTCCTGTTATATCTCCGATCAGTTTGCCGTCCCAATGAACAGTAAGAGACGTATTTGGATTAAATTCTTTCTTTAAGGATTCCGCTTCCCTTTGCCTTTGCTTCATACGCTGGCAACGAATTGAGGATGAATTTATATTGTACACTGATGGATCGGTACCTACACTTTTGAGCTTTGATGTCAAAACAACAGTAGCTTTCCTGTCACTTAATTTAGCAAAGTCGAGGCTTGTGGATAAGCGTTCATCAAAAATGTTCCTTCTGCCGCGTTTGCGTTTAGGTGGGACTTCTAAAGCTTTGGTTTGTTAGAACTGTGCGTCGCAGACGACATACGCGGTTAGCAGAATCTGTAGCGTTCAACTTTATCGGTTTTAAAGGAGGGTGTTTTGTTAGATTTAGTGCTTATTTAGTGATATGCTGATAAGTGCAGACGAAAATATTTATTATTATTTTGGCAAAATTTTTTTTTAATGACAATGGCTGAACATTTTTTGCTGATAATACTTATTGAAAAAGAACATGAAAAAGATCTTTTAAATTTGATTACTTGTCGTCGTCAAAATAAAAGTGAAGATCGAATGAACAGATGTTTGGAAGCGACGGTATACAATGGGGGCAGTTTTCGTACCAGATCGATTAATTTATCGTCTTTCTCTGGTGAAAACTAGGTTGCCATTTTAAAATTCGTTAAAAATAAATGCCTTTTTAGCACTGTACGCTGTCAGCTCAACTGAACGGCTGCGTTGAAATCAAATCGAATTTGATTTCGACTGAACCGACGACGCACATAATTTTCTGCTTACCGTGAGTCCACCTAAGCAGACTCTAACAAACCAGCTACCCATTTTCTTGTGTTCTTGATTCCTACGTAAGTCTGATGCGCACAACTGACTGTCTGCTTTACGTCGCCTACAGCTCTAACAAACCATAGCTTTAAATCTGCCGTCAAAGGTCCCGCCCTTACGGAAATTTCTGACGTTGAACTTTTACTTTCATTATCACTACTGCTAGTCGAAGAAGATAGTATGCACTTTTCTCGCAGGGATTCAGTGTAACTTTTTTCTCGATCTAAAATACATTGAAGTTTTTCTCCTTTTCTTTCGCTATTTTTTTTAAAAGAACTTTGTCCACTCCGCCTATTGTACCAGGGCGTCCTCTTTTTACGAGTGTCCTTGTACGGAATAATGTGACGAGTAGCATTAGTATGTTTTATAATGTATAAATGATTAATATAACTGTTTTATGTACATTGAGCTGCAAGTTATCATTGTCATAATTTTTTTCAAACTTTGACACGAGGTATCAACCCCTAAAAACCTATCTAAGAAATAAATAAAAAATATAGGTTCGTTTTTTAGGTGATAGAAGCGAATGGCAGGCTGACGCAGTAATTTTTCAAAAGTTGAAAAATAAGAAGCACCCTAATATACATACATACAAGTACAGTCAATCTCAGTTATATTACCAACCTAAAGAGACATTTAAAGTGAGTAGGTCTATTAAAATGTTTCAGACATTAACCTCAAGTTATGACATGGAGTTGGACAAAATGGCATGGACATGGACAAAATACCTGTTTTACAGGTGAATGGTTATAAAGAAATGGACTATCAAATGAGTCATCAATCCTAGACATCCACAAAGAGATGTGACAAACCATCAAATTGCACGCCTGCCTTAATTTCATAATGTAACAGTATTAGTGGTGTCCAATTAAGTGTCAAATGTAAATGCAACTATTCTAATGCAGGAAAATTTATTATAAGGTTTTTTTATCTAATGATATTGTAGAAAACAACTACTCCTGGGCTACATGCCTCATTCAGTATGCTTTGATAGTACCTGCAGATTAATAGATCACTCTCTGCAGCAAGATGGCGACTGCAATTAATTCATCTTGAATCTATTTCTAACAAACAAATGAGTCCGAACATACTTATTGCGAGTTGTTGGCGATACAAGGCATTAGATCGTGGAAATATAATTTGTTGGTGTTCAGAAAGCAGCAGGTTACGATTATCGCTGATCGCATCAATATGTGCGTGTTAAAATTTAAATAGATTCGATAGATCAGATGCATAAAATAAGATATTTAAATTAAAAAATTATATATCAGCCTATTTCATAAAAGGTTTAGTTTTTGAGATATACTATGCTAGTTTTTGAAAAATATGTTTACAAAACTATTTCTGAAATTGAACGTAGTATACAGTTATGTAAATCAAGGGCAGGGATACTAGGGGGTGCTGCAACTGAGAAATCGGAAAACTAATTAAAGATCACTCAATATTTTCGAAATTCGATAAGTGCATTTACATAATTTTAAATTGTATTTCAATCATAAAAAGGACACTGAAAAAAGAGCCATTTTCAAATTATTACTATTTAAAATCTAAATTAGTTTAGGGTACCACAACTGCTTTTATCAAAAACAAGATCTATGGAATTTTATTGTTATAAATATGTCATCAAAAATTCAAAAAAATCCTTAGTAATTTATTTTTATTTTTTTAGGAGTATCGCCCCTAAAAAATTATAAATCTACCCTAATAATGTTTCTTTTAACTTTTAATGGCATTGTACATATTTAAAATTATAAATATAACAAAAAAAAAGTTATAGACTTTTTTTGAGGAATTAATAATTTTGCATATTACATATTCAAATGTGACAACTAATTTTGGATTACTAATATGAAAATTGTTAGTTTCTAAATAAAAAGGAGAAAACTTGTTTTTCTTTGAAATACTTTAGTAGCTGTATCTATTTATTTTAACTAGAATCTTGAAAATTAGTATCAGTATTACACTATATCAAATTAGTGATATTGGAATGTTTCTAAATTTTCCAGATTTTACAGGTAAGTTTAACTGAAAAAACACTTGAAGTTAAGAAATAACAGGATAAATATTTTGATATATCAAACTGTGGATGCAGACAAAAGAACAAAAATATATGTACATATCATATTGGAATTAAAATTACTTTCACAATTCTGTTCCTATAAAGTTAAAGATTTAAACATTACTGCAAAACTAGTACTTACAACAATAGCACAACAAAATGCTGCAAGTAGAACATACATGCTGATTTCTAATGGTTTCATGTGAGTAGCATTGTGATTGCGAAATACACCTTTATTATTTTGGTACTGCCTGGCTTGAACATTTGGTTCCTGAGAATCTTCATCTTTTAAAGGAGTACCTAAAAAAAATAATATTGTAGAAAATATAAAATTTTTTAGGTTGGAGTTTTAATATCCTTAAATAAGTAGTTGAAAAAAAGAGAAAGGATTGTCAAAAATGGCGTCATGTACTCTGAAATCAAATTGTGAAAAATTAAGGAAATGTTTTTAGTTCGATGGTTTCTCGATATACAGGGTGATTCATTAACAATGGGAAAATCGAAAGCTACATTACGCGAGAAATAGTGACCATTGGAGCAAACATACAAAAGTTAAAATTTTAAATCGTTTTTTTGCGATTATTCTGAAAATATCTAGGTTAGGAACTTGAAAATTTGTGAAACTATATTTTTTTAAGCGAAGAATAAGATGCGATTTGCAATTTCAGCGTTGCTCATAGAGGGCGCCACTTACGACCAATTTTACCGAAAATTTAGTTAATGACTTTTTACCCTGTATGTATAACATGAATTACATAAGGGTGTTTTACATTTAGTACTTAATTAGCAGTGATAAAATACTGACAAAATCATTTTCTAAATTATTAAAAAGATATATTTTTTAATTGTTCAACTTATTTTTTCCTGTTTCAATAATATTATAAGTATATTATGAGTAATACCTGTATTTTTTAGATATCCTAAGAATCTGAAACTTGTGGAAGCTCTCCCTAGGTGATGTCAATATTACCGACAACATTTTTGTTTGTTCTGATCATTTTGCGATTAATGATTTTCTGACAAAGCCATCAGGTATAAAGTACTTGTGGGAGATAGCTATTCCAATAATAGCTTCTACTTATAGCAGGTAAAATAACTTTTATATTGATTAAAATATACAAGTAAAAAGCCTTTACAGTTACCTAGTACCTCTTTACCTTTTTATTTAATTTTTATAGATCAGACAGTTCTAATAAGGAAAATATTTCTCTAAATGATGTTCTTACACAGTCATTGCACTTGCCGCAACAAAAACCAGAAAATATATCTACATGTTCATGTTCATCGTCATCGACACTGAGTGCTCAATCAGGCTTGTTATCTACTAAAAATAAGGCTACATATCTTTCTGAAATATATTTGAAATTTGGTTACTTTGTACCAAAACAATGATCAACATTAACTGCATCAGAAATAGGAATGGATTCACCCAATCGTAATAAAATTATAAACGTGAAGTAAGTTATAAAAATATAATTAACAAATTATATATCCTTTGTATAGTCTCTACAACTAATACCCTATAATTTTGCTATCTGCTTACCTACGAGTTTCTAACATTTTTTTTATTCAGTACATTTTAAAAAATACCAAGAAAATTCTACCTGTTACCTATTTATATATTACCATTTTATTTTATATAAACGCTACCGTAAGTGTTTATATAAAATACATCTGGAATAGATAATTCATCATTTTTAGGAAAAGGCCTTATCCATGATATTTTGGAGAATGCCATATTTCTGACATGGATAGTCCAAAAAGAGCAAGAAAAAATTGGAGTACCTATTTGTAAGAAAAAAATAAAAATGCAAACAATAAAGATCCATAGTCTGCAGCAGGCAAAGACTCGTCTAAAAGCCAGAATTTGTAGCCTTAATTCTCTTCTGAAATTTTTGAAAAAGAAATATGACTTAACAGAAACTGTTCAATGTATCATTCATGTAAGTTGAAAAATACTTATTCTTTCTGTGTCTGTAAACAATATGTAATTTTAGGAATATGGAATATTAGGTGAAATCTGTCAAAGATCAAGAAAATGACAATCTCGTAAAACGTGTTCATCTGAGCTTAGGTCGTTTGCCTTAACGTTAAACTTTTATTCAACAGATGCTTATAATTATGCAAGAAGAAGTTTTAACATGGCTTTGTCACATACAAAAACGATTTCTAAGTGGTACAGATCAACGAATTCTTTTTTTTCTTTTCTTAGGCAACAAATATATGTTTTATTATTAATTAAGAATATATTGTTAGGTTAAGATAAAGATTTTAAATAATGCTTTGTAGTGGTTGACAATGTTATACAATACCACTTGTTTTCCTAGTGATAAATGTTTTTTAATACTGCTTTATCACAATGTGTTTGTAGCTCACTTTAGGTATTTAGGTGTGTGTAATGTACTTTTATTGTAACCTATAATTGGGCCTTGTACATGTTAGTTAGGTGCAGTTGGGTGAATAAATAAATTAATAAATAATTTTTTATCCGTGTCAAAATATATGCCCTACACAACTGCCGTTGTGTCTCTTTGGGTATAAGTAAATATACTCTGTCTCTATCCAATCAGTAGTTCTTTATCTAGATGATGGCTACAACTGAATGGAAGGTATTATTTTCACAAAGCTCCTTCTAAGGGTTAGAATTCGTTGGAATATCCAAATCAAAAAGGGCATTGGTCACATCTCTAGAACAGTTCAGTGCAGTGTTAAGAAAAAAAAAGAGTTAGTAAAAAAAGCCAAGAGAAGTTGTAGGAGAACGTTTAAATTCCTCAGTTCATTGCAACGTGGTTTGATAGATATGGCCACCTACGAAAACATATGTATAAACTTTATGTTTGCTTAAATATGGTGCACCAAAGCTATTGTCACTGTAATCTTAATTAAATTTTATTTTATTTTGGTTAACCACTTTTTGGTAAAACTCATTAATAAGGGCAAAACAGGAGGGGTTCGAAAAAGTCTTGTAACTCTGATTTGGCTGAACCAAAATTAGTAAATTTGGTATTATTAAAAAGACTTCACTTAATTTTTTGTTGTATAAAATCATTTTGGTTTCTAAGTGAGGGTTTTTCAAAAACTAACGAATTTTCTCCATTTCCTTGAAAATTGTAAATGGAAAAATTGGAAAAACAACAAGTAGGTATATCAATAAAAACTTCATATCAATAACTTTCAATCAAATTGAATGTATTGGGTATGACAAAAAAATTAATTGCCCACAATTGTTGAGGGAATATTTATGAGCCCCTACGATACTGCACTAAAAATGCCTATTGCAAGTTCTACATGGTACATGTCACTAGTATCAGCCACCTTATAGAGCATTAATTAATTACATCATCAAATCACTAATTGTCTATTTCTTTTAAACATTTTCCTAGTTGGTTGCCATATTGTTAGTTTAAATTTCTTGAACTTTTAAGAGACATATCATTCCTTCAGAAGAAGAAACCGAGTTTTAGAGTTTATTTTTCTTCTCCTTTTCCACCACAATAAGCCACATTCTGTATGCCGAAGCCATAACAACTAAATAACTCCACTGGTGCTCCACTGCTGGAAACTTAGATTTAGTGATCCGACTATAGCCCCTAGAATGTATGCAATCACATAATCGAAACAGCTAGTAAATTTTTAAAATCTATTTTCCCATTTTTAAAGCTTCAGTGCTTACTCTGTGCTAATACATTATACTAATATTGTTATTACAATACCACATGGTGCTTAAGTGTATACAATTTTTTAAATATGTTCTTTGTAGTTACAATGTTTACATTCAAGCTTCCAAAACAAGACTTCCATAGAGAACTATGATATGCGACTTTGGATGGTAAATGCAGGTGACATTAGTATTAAGTGGACTGAATTTTATCTCATTTTAAGCATGAACTGTTCACACCATTTAAATAACTGCAACAGGTGAATACGCTACAAAATAAGCCAATATCATGGAGATTCCCAAGTAGGGAGTGCAATTCCGATATAAAGTCATAATCCCAGTATTAAAGAGATTAATAGTTAAACTCCTGTTGGATCTCGGTAATTGCGGGATCCTGCTTATCTGATATGCAATACTGTTTTTTTTATATTTAGATTGATGATGGAAAAGAAATATGTTTTTAATTTTTAATTATGTTTTTATTAAAGAAACAAAACATTATTCGATTTGTTGGATCCCAGTATCAGTTCCTAGATTAAGGTCAATTAGTGCCTTGCAAATGCATAATTTAACTTTATTAAATGTTCCTATCATTGCATAAAGACTGCTCCATCGAGTTTTACAATCTAAGACAAGTTGTACATCTTTTCCACTCATTTTTCATATAAATTTGCAACATATCATTCTTTGCTGGAGATCTCTTGAAGAGAAAGACAACTTGCGGACTTTCTTAATTAAATCGACAAACATACAATCCCAATTTATCGGTACTAAAATCTTGTGCGGGATCCCGTTATAACGGTATTCCAGTATACCGGGATTGCACTCCCTACTCCCAAGTCTGTTAGGCTATAACCTATGTGATTTTTTAATTTTATTAGGTTTACAGGAAAAATTACGTACTGAAAGAAATCATCTAAGTGAGGTTTGCTCGGGTATTTTAGCTACAGGTACAAATATTTGCAACAAAAAAAACATGTTGCCATAAGTTTTGTTAAAATCTAGTTGCTAGCATAACAAAAAAAGTCTCGTTCTTATTTAACATCCCAGTTGAAAAGTATTTCTTTTTCAAAAAGCTTTAAGGAAAAATGTTCAAAAATGTTTATGTTGGGAAAATAGAAGTGATTCATTTTTCATTTCATGTCACTTTCAAACAAGAAAAAAAAAATTTATTAAAATAAATTGAAATCTATGACAATAGAAATAAATAAGCGAGTAACGAACTTGAAGAAAAGAATGGTAGGTATTCATTCTTCTTATTCCTATAATTAAAATGTATAATGTATGACTAACACACCTTTTAACATATCTTGAAGATCAGAAAATTCTCTTCCAAGTTTTGAATTAGAAAAGCTTCCACCATCATTTTGTAAAATATCACGTCTATGCGACAAATCACTACTGCTAAAATCAACCGTAATAGATGCGGCTGCAGTGGCCAGTGGGCCAGAAGTTTTCATTTTGGGTCTTCCGCCAGTCCTGCATTCTTCTGCCAATAAAAGTGTTACTTGTAGGAGGTCACCACTACCTTCACCAATAGCTATTACTCGGGGGTGGTGAGAAGCAACCATTGGTGCAAATGCTACTACTTCAGGATCAAGACTTTCTACAACTAAATGATAATCTGTGTCTGAAATGTCTCTCAATGGTGTTTTTGAACCATCAGAAAATTCTAGTTCAATATCCAAAAGCCCTTCCTAAAATTTAAAATTATTTGAAATGAAATGAGATGTGGCCTATATACCGGGTGTCCTGAAATTAACGCAACAAAATTTGGTCACATATTCTTAAGACAAATTAAGGAGACCATTATTTTTTACTTTTGCCAAGTATTCTCCTCTTTCGGAGTTACGGCCCCCTGAAATCCGGCCTTGAGAATAGTCTTTTTTATATCAGAAATTTGGTACACAGGGGTTCTATGACATGTGGAATCTGACAGTGATACGCTTTTTGGCAGGGAAACACCTTAAGATACTTTTTCTTCTAGAAAACCATGGGATTGAGAAACTTTTTTGTCACTTGATATTTTTCTCGTAAACGCAATGTTTTCGAGAAAAATGGCAAAATGTGATTGAATGCATATTGTGATTCGTATGAAATTTAGTGATTCTATTACAACAGGGTTCTGAGATATAAAAAAAAAACTATTCTTAAGGGCAGATTTCAAGAGGCTGTAACTCCGAAAGAAGGGGTCACTTGGCAAAAACAAAAAATATGCGTCTACTAAATTTGTCTTAAGAATCTGTGACCAAATTTTGCTGCATTAATTTAGGGACACCCTGTTATAAACAGGGTATTTGCAAGGGAATAGATCATTCTTCAAAGATAGTTTTCTTGAATAAAAAACCGATTTAGATCAATTTACCTTAGTTCAATTTTACTTCTTTTAAAAAGTTAGTCCCATAAAAACATTTTTTCTGTTAATTTTTAGATATATCAACGAAATTTGACATAAGAAATTTTTAGGGTACACCTCTATCTGAAAGTCAACGTCTACTGAATATCTTTAAATGTTGAGAAACCATTTGTTATATTTACTAGATGCTACTATATGAAAACAAGTAGAAATAAGTAAAATATATACATATTATTAAAATTATAATAAAAGCAATAGAAAATTGAAATTCATTATTCTGCAATAACAATAAATCTTTTGCAATAAATATAGTCTCATAAAACACTTGTTTTCTCAAAAAAAATTGGGCAAGAAACAAAATATTGTGTTTAATATTCTTAGTAGGTATGTTTTAGATAGCAAAGAAAAAAAATGAAATAAAAACGTTTATTTGAAAACCCTTACCTAATTTTTTAAAGTATTATTGTATTGTATTATTTTATGTTTGTAATTACTTCACAGATTCAATTACTTCACCTCTGCTTATATTTCACGACCGTTTGTTTCATTACTACCAATTATAACGGAAGTGAACCTTTTGCGAACTTAAAATAATAATGACATCCAAAAGGTTAAACTTTTCCTTTTACAATGAGTTTATTAACTGTGATTTTAAAATAATAAAGACTGAAAGGATATATTATTTTAAAATTATACTGTAAAAACTTTTAATGTGCGTTTAATGATGTAGATATAATCAAGAAAAGAACAGTAACAACAAATTCTGGTAAATTTACAGATTATACCTGATATTGTGCAGTTAACTTTCTTGTTATGCCAGTTTCAGCTATATATACATTTTCAATGGAACTATCTGGCGATATGTTAAGTTGCAATCCTGAAACTACTTGAACAGAAAGTCTCGACAGTGCCACTTTATCGTTCCCTACTCTGATTTCTTTGGAACCATATACACGGCTAGTTATAGGAGATAGTACCTAAAAAGAGTAAAAAGTCACATTAAAATCAAAATGAAATACCATTACAACTGAACTAGTATAATGTAGTTAGAAAACTTTTGCAGCAAATTTCTATTTTTAAAATGTTGGTATAGATTTAGCTTATAGTTTCATTGAAAAAAATATATTAACGATTTTTACGGGAAATAATTATTTTGTAGTATCAAAATTAAAAGTTTATTATGTAATTTAGTAGGCAGTGGTAGCGTACAAAATTAATGTGATCAGTCTCCTAAGCTCAAATAAAGAACTTTCATGATGAAGAAATTTCAAAGGAAATTTTCAATATAAAAAATTAAAATAGAGGTAGTCGACCTCAGAAGGGGTTACACATAATAATTTACAAAATACTTTTTTCTTGATCAACTGATAAATACAAATAGGTGTTTTCTTATAGCTGTTTTACATGGACAATTTATTTATGAATAAATTCACAAAGTTCTTCATGAATTAATTAACAAATTTATTTGTAACTGGTTTGTTTTACACTGCTACAGACTTCGTGAATTTCTTTGACACATAAATCAGCTCTACCAACAAATCAAAAAAGCAAATAAATTTCAAAAATGTCACCTTTCCACTCATAAGGTGTGGTACAACAGTGGTACCGTTTTGACACATATTATATAAATATTAGTTTTTGTAAGTAACAAATCTCTAAAAACAATGCAAAACAAGTACGACACCACAGAATTATTTACATTTTTCAAATAACATAACCTCATTACCGATCTGAGGCTGGAAATTTGTTGTGTTGGTGCTTCTGAACTTCAAGAAGAAATTGACAAAAATTACAAAACATGTTCTAATTCATCAAGAAATTGATGAATAAATTCATGAAGCAGATTTGCTGCATTACACTTGTCTAATTTCTTGATGAAACGACTTCATGAATTAATTCATCAATAAACTGTCAATGTAAAACAGCTTTTATTTTTTACAAAATTTTTATTTTTCGTAAAGTTACAGTACGTTGAGTTGTTAATGTCAAGAAGTTTGAAAATGGAATATTAATATTAAATTAATATTTGAGTAGGTATATATGAAACATTAGTCTCAAATTAAAATTTAAAATATATCACTACGAAGGTGTATATTGGGTAACTCAAACCATAACTTTTTTCAGATTAGATTGAATATGAGTAAAAAATTCAATAAGAATGAAGGCTGTCGAATGAGAATAAAAACAGGAACAAAATCAGGAGTGGAAAAGTTGAACACATGTTTACTGAACACATACATTTTTTCCAAAAATGTACTTAGATAACATAAATTCAAAAATGTACTTAGATGACATCAGTTCCACCAGAAACAATTCAAGATTCAGTAAGAAACACAATTCACAGAGAATACTTTTTTGCATCGAACACTAAGGGAAACAATTTGAATAATTTATGTAATTTATATTTATTTGTTTCCTGCTATTATTTATTTATTTATTTATTTATAATTTATTGTTAATTATAATATTATAATTTATAATTTATTGCCAATTTTTCACAATAAAATGTAAAAATATCTAGTTTTGACTTATTGAATATTGTGTCACTAAAAACAAATATTAAAAACACTTGAGTAGGTACTTATTTACAGCAGTACTTAAATGATTGTTTACATTTAAACAGAAATGTAAAAATTTTGATTCATTTTTTCATGGCAACTGCAATTAAATTAAATAAATAATAAAATTGACACTTTTTGTGGTGGGAGGTTGGAAAAAATGTTATTTTCGGGAATTTTCAAGGAAAAATCGATGCAAGATATAGTGTCAGGAATAAAAAAAGCTTCATTGTACATGTTTTCAGGTAGTATTGTGAATTTTTCCAAACGAGTTGGATTCAAATTGGCGTCTGTAGGGAAATTACCAATTCAAATAATGTTATGAGTGTTACTTTTTAGTTAACTTGTTATCTTCTGTTTAACTTTGCATTTATTTGTAAAATAAATTATTATGATATAGGTATATGCATTAATTTTTCTAATGCAATTGTAAATTGTTATTACATAACTCAGCAATAACTAAAGGTTATCATGTTTTTTAATACAATAAATGTTCATGCAAAATTAAATTATAATTTATTTATTTATTTCCTAAGTACTATATTTATACTCAAAAATTATTAAAGATTGTTTTTAATGATAGATGGATAATATTGAATATTTGAGTGTAGTTTTTTATTAGGATAAACTTTCCTTAATAACGATTGGCGTATTGTAAAAAATAAAGGTACTTTACTCTTGAGCAAAATTTACATTTTTCGACAAACCTCGTATCGTATATGACTGCAAAAAATTGAAATCTGATTATTTCATTTTGGGTGTTAGGCCATCTAGAACTTTTTTATCAAGAATAACTAGGCTGAAAATCATATTATACAAATTCTATATTGCATATAAAAAAAATTTGTCAGACAGTCAGCTGAATGTGGGGACAGAGCTAGTCAGTCGCAGCCCCGATATGTATGTATATACAAAAATAAATAATGTGCAATTCGTTTACTATACATCAAAACTTTTGTGAGGATATTAATTGTTACATTAACCATAAACAAAATGGTCAGTCAACGATTTTGTGGGACAACACCCGTTCCCGTTAGTAAGCGAAAAATAAAATAAAAATTTCGTGCGCGCCATCAGCGTTGCAGGCGGCGGCGGCTCACTCTTTTTCTTATAATTATTCAACGAACTATTTACAGATATTGTTTTAAAATATCAATATAATTTTTTCACAAAGTTTTTACAGATTTTTCAATATTTCTTTCATAATGATGTACAATTTTATTAAATTATGTACCTATATAAAAGAGCGACGCCTGAAACGCCGATGGCAAACAATTTATTTTGCCTCTGGCTCTCCGTCTATTAGACTGCATAAGGTTTGAGTCACCTGGTATATTGTATTTAAATACTTAAACGTTTACCTGAACTTCTGTCCTTCCCATAGTTCTACCTTGTAATATTCTTCCATGCAGACTTGCAATCCTTGGATCACTTACTCTTAACCAAGGCAAAACTAAATCTGTAACTCTCAGCCATGTTCTTCTGTTGATCAAATATTTAGTACGGCCGGAATCGTGATCTGTTGCAAAAAAGTGGGCATACACATCTACAGATGTTTGTTGATATCTTAATCGACAAACAGGCTTTTCTACCACATTTGCCATATCATTAGCTCCATTTCCATTCCACCCATTACTATATGAACGTTTTTTTCGTCTAGATTTTGTTACACTAAAGCAAAATAAAATTCTATTCATTCACTGTTAAAAACAAATCAAAATGTACACAAGAAACTCAATAGCTTTTACATTTGTGAAATGTATTATTTTTACTTTGATAAAGTCACAAAATATTTTTTAATAACGACAAGAAAAAATAGAAAATTGGAAAATAAATTAAGATTAGTGGCATGTTTGTTAAGGTGATCATTTTGTTATTCCAATTTAATCAGGGCATATGTTAATATAAAAATTAAAAGTATTATTTTCAATTTATTAATTTATTGAAAGTCTTTCATAGTTTATTTCAAACATTGCTATTGGTCTTTACAATATATAGGTGTCCCAATATTTCGTTATAGAAATATTACAGGTTTTGGAAACAAAACAAAGCAATTAACTAAATTTACTTATGTCAAAAGTTGCTTCGTTTAGCCATTAGAGGGCGTCAAAGTGGACAAAAAATGTTAGCCAAATAACTCTGGAACGATTTGTCCAATTTAAATTAGTTTTGCTATATTAGTACTTGTGATAGGAGTCATTTTTTTAAAGTTACACAGTAACTGTATTCACAAAAATAGGAAAAGTACATCCCCACAACTCCTAAACAAATATACCTACTTATTTCTTTCTTACAATTTCTGTTTTTGTTTTGTCATTGAGGTTATTTGTCATAAAGATAAGGGCTTCTTAAGCTCTTTTCCTGCTTGTATTTTTTTTTATTTTTCTAACAGTTTTACACGGATTCAGTAAAATTAAAAAATACGCATTCATCCCATATTTCCTCCTTTTTGTAAATTATATGTTGAAATTTGAATTTCTTGATTTTTATTTTATGAGCATTAAATTAGATGAATTTGATGAGAATTTACTGTTTGCAGAATAAAGAAAATCTGAAATGAATCTGATAATTTGTATTTTTTGAAAGAATTATAGCAGTAAAATTTTCAGCTACAAGTTTCTGAAATCCAAGGCATATTATTTCATTTCTAATACCAAATGAAACAAATTTTTGATGACAATTAAATCAGCTTGAAAATTCGTTAACAGTAGGTAACCAATAGAATAAATAATTAATTACTGAAAAGTGTTAGAAATACAAAAAATTGTAAGAGGAAAAAGCAAGAAGAAAAAGCTTTTACTTTTGTGATAAAATATCAATTGAAGTTGTAAGATCACCTGCAAAAAAATATGGGCATATTTACTTCAGTATGAAGGTATTTTTCATGTTTCTGTAATAGACCAAGGCGGATCTGTCTTGAGGTGGATGTGAGAGAGGGAAAGCATATTTTTTCTGGATTACCTTCAGTACGACTCACATACTAAAAGTATAGATCCCTAGATCTATCAGGTCGAGGTCCGGAACATTTTCAAAATTGCAAAAATGTTTCAAAACATTTAAAAAAATACCTATTGTATCCGAGTTTTGAAATCTTGGAACCTGTGCATTTTAGAAGAATATTAAAGAGGAAAAAAGTTTTAGATTTGAATTTTTCACAATATACTGTTAAGTTAAAAATGTTTAAATTTATTACCGATGTTGCAAAATAGCAATAATTGATAAAAAAAAGGCAAAATAATCAAGTTTTTAGGATATTTTTTAAAAATATTTTAATTGCTCCGAGGGCAACAACACACCAAATTTCATTAAAATCGGTTCGATAGTTTTCGCAAAATAATTTTTTGAAAAAATTTTTTTTAATTTTCAAAATGTTGCACAGCCTCAAATAAAGCATCTAGATACTTGAAAATTTTTTTACATAGAAAAGACCGCTCAACCTTTCAAATGGTTTTTGAAAAATTGAAATTGGTTGATTAGGACGGCCACAATAAATTTTTAAAGTTAACACCCTTTTTTTATTTTTAAACAATTATATTACATTTATCAATTTGCAATTCAGTTTTTTTCAAAAACTATAATTTTAAAGTACTCAGAAAGACGCTTCTTTAAAAAAAAA